TAACATCAGCCATTCGAAAACCAGTTACAGGAAAACCCACTTGCATAACACTATCACTAATCATACAAAGTACCGGGCGAAAGGCAACATCCATGTGCGCATCCCTTAAATTAATGATAAAACAAAAACATTAAAATGAAATTCGACATTTTGTTTTTGTTGGGAACCGAATTAAATACTCCGAATGTCACCAGCCGTCACATGTTTAGAGATTTAGTAAATCAAACTTTTTGCATTGTATACTTTCTCCTGCACATAGGTAACATGGCGCCACCCATATTTCACTACTGACAAAACACGGAAAGTTTTAACAGAAATGACGACTAAATAACTGACCGAATCAAAAGGCAATTTGCTGTACTAAGAGAACATTCTGAAGCAGTACATTTTACCCACCACCTCGGATACCAATACAGTAGTAAGCGGAATGTGCCCAACGTAAGTACTGTAACTACCCACGTTAATACCTGAAAATATTTTACATCATATTAGGAAAGAACATTTTCGTACGAAATAATCGCTTAACCTCTATGGTTTGCCCTCGCGGCTAACTCATTTATTTGCTTCGCTTGAACTTTAGTTTTAAAACTTAAACTTTCGTGGCTAACATACCGTTTTTATCTTATTTGTTTTATATCCCCACAGATACACATTTTCATCATCGACAGTGATGTGAGCACTGTGCGCTGCTTGTGTAGGCATTCTCTTGAATGTGTCCTTTCGCCCGGTTCGCCCTAAAATTTCTTAATTAATTATATCAGTGGGTTTCAAAATTCTATTTCTTTCCTTCTTTTTTAAATACGAATCACGGAGAGACTTACCCTGTCGAATCTACTGTTTGTCTCACATAACTCATCTCCTAATGAGTAGCAAGTCGTTTCAATCGTTTCTTTTTTAAAACACTCTACTCATAAAAGGACTGGAAGAACAATGATAGCAACATAACATTCAGTACTTCGCGTTACATAGAACAATCTATAAGGTTTGAGTTAAAAAAACATTGACGAATAACATACTTGAACGTCGTGTTCCCTGAATTGCTGCTAGATTTGCGTAACGCTTTGTTAAGCAGTTATAAGACGTGCTGTCGCTACCATGCAGCAGTGATACCCGTTCAATGTCACTTTCCAGTGAAAGTCCCCACTTCACACCAAACCTATAATCAATTTCTGTATAAAGAGTACAGAGGGTAAGAGAGGGAAAGGATGAGAAAAAGATTCGAAGAGAGTTGTACCAACGTACCGACCACATTAACGATTTCATCATTTTCATCAGATGTTCATCCCTTGTCTGTGTGTGTGTGTGTGTGTTGTGTGTGTGTGTGTGTGTGTGTGTGTGTGTGTGTGTGTGTGTGTGTGCGTGTGCAATACCCTCCCTTCCTTCACTCTTAGCATTGGTGCATGATAGATCAAACGGCCTTCTTTCTCTTCTGAGAAGCGTTATTCTGTCACGTCTAACTGATTCAAAGATTCCCGGGATTCACTAGATGTCATTGATTTATGGGATGACATTAAATCTGCAGTACTATGCGAAAAAAGAAAGGAATTTCCGGGGGAATGACGTCACATTATTACCATTAAACAACACCAAATAGCAGCAAAGCATAGTTGATGACATTTGCGCTGAATGTCTTTCCTTTTTTTCACTGAGCTACCACCATAAAAAGTGGGAAAGATACTTCAACTACAAAAACTCCAAAAAAGAAAAAAAATCCATAGATTTCTTATGTGATCTTTGCTCTTAATCAGGACTGCAATCGCTTCAAGTTCTATCAGTCCTCCTACAAGTTTTATCAGTCTTCCTACACTCATTCTCCTACATCCCTTTGGTTTATCTGTCCACATTTCCAGTCTTTGTCATCATTAGCAACTAGGAAGACGTACTCTCGACCACCCATACTTTTCCAGTCTTTAACGTCGTCCCTTCGATTCCCTCACATATCACCAACAATCACCACGAATGATTACTCGGAACTGAAGAGTTTCTCGACGGTAGTAGCATGAAGTTTGCTGACGCGGGATTTGGTGTGAAAGGCGGTGAGAACGATATGCCACAATGCGTATTCCATACTTGCACTTGTCACTTCTTCAATATGACGATTACGGGGAATGAAATGAAAGGGCAAAAGATTTTGGTAAAGCTTAACTGACCAAGAGAATGCTACGCTTATTTGCTCTGATTGGTCATTTGCGAGAGTATACAAAAAATGCTTGTTCAGCATCCAATAAACTATATTCAGTTTTGTAAATTCTCAGTTTATTATCCTGTTGGCGTCTTCTGATGGTTATAAAGGGATATGGACATGTACGGATACAATACCAACCTTTTAACCATTCTACATTTAATATATTCGAAAGTTATTCGCGTCCTGTCTTTCAGTCAGTGCCAACATGTGATAACATATGGCTAACTTGCTTAGAGCTTAAAAGATATATCTTATTTTACTTTTGATTATAGCAACAAACTACTAGTTATAGTGCTCTGAGGACAAGTTGTTCCCTTTCTTATTTCATTTGCAAAAGTCAGAAAAGGAATTGTAAATTTAATTAACCACATTATCTTGATAGATAAGTTCGTCGTGCAAAAAATGTTTGCTAAAAGCTAATCAAATTATTATTTTATGGGAAGTAAAGATTGGAAAAAAGGAAAGTATACGAATTGAGGAGGAATGAGAAGAAAAATCGTTATGAATAAGTCATCACTCATCTTTAGCACTGTTTCGGGATGAGAGTGACACTCTTCATTCAGTTTTCCGCATCAAAGTCAATTTACAAAGAATCAAGGATAGATAGCTATTAAGAAAACATCTACTACTTAGGGTGTCACCATCTTTTGAAGGTGGATGATCTCCGCACAGAATGATAAACACTGATTGCTGTTCTGTCAACATATGTTCCAATGACCTGATCTTCCGGTTCGTATTTCGAAGGTTAACTTGAAATTGATTTCATTCCATTGTTGATATCATCAAAAGCGGTTTTCATGCGGAACTGCAAGTTAGACACACGTGTCAAATACGGACAAAGCTTGGTTGCAGCTTTTTTTTTCACTTTTAATTCAAACATGATCGAATTTGGTACAGTGGCATGATATAGGACACGTAACATGAAAGGAATATTTGTGAGACATTCTTAATAATTCCTCGATTAAAAGCAAACAAGCTACCTAACTGATCACTTCTTACACTAGACAGTTCCGAAATCTAGAATGCTGCTGCTTTTGGTGTCAGACCACTGGGAGAAACAGGTATATATGTTAAAGAAGCTACTGCATTTAAGAACATTTTCATGGGTGACAATCAATGATCCTTATTAATTTTTAGACGGCCGGATAATTTAAATTTATATGTCAATCATCGCCCAATGAGTTATTTAAGTACCTTTGAAATTGCCTTTGAATCTAGCTACCTAAAAAATATGATCATGACAGTAATGAGCATCAGTTAGCAAACAAGATCTTTACTAAGTGATAAATTTTCATGAAATTTTTCTATGCAAATCACAAGTACTCATTTTGTTAAACATTTGGTTGGTGGTAGATAAAATTTTTTGCAATATATCGGAAAATTGCAAACATTTACAAATCATAATTTCAGAGACTGAACAGTCGGTAAAATTAAATCAATAAATCATTTCTACCTAATACACCATAATTTTATGCGCCAATGGAACATTTACAAGGTAATCGCAAGGGACACTTTCATCAAGTCAATATGGAATCTCTTTTACTCGAATAAATGTTTACTGATTATCACTGATATTTAACAGTGATTGGAGTTAATAAAAATGCGCTCACTTTCTCTAGTGTTTAGTATTTCCGTTGATAGCCGGTAGTGGGGTAGGAATTAAATCAGTTTTGAGAAATGCACTAGCGGGAAGTTTCATGATCATTAAAAATATGACGCAATCTGCAAAATGCAAACATTTATTATGAAGTTTTAGTTGTACTACTCGGTAATGATTCATGCTTCCAAGAAAATCTCAGCAGTGCTCTATGATCAACAGGATATCGTACAATACCGGAAGAAGGGCCCTTTACACTTAGCATTGTCGGTTGCCAAACAATCGCGGGACTCAAATCCAATAATTTCATGGTTTCTACATGGATAACCACTGACGAATTCCTGAAATTAATTTAATAATAATAATAATAATAATAATAATAATAATAATAATAATAATAATAATAATAATAATAATAATAATAATAATAATAATAATAATAATAATAATAATAATAATAATAATAATAATAATAATAATAA